AAAAAAAAAAAAAACACAAGCCTCTATCAACAGTAAATTTCAAGTCTAGCTTGCTCCCCATGAGTGTTAAGTGAAGCATCTTTTCTAAATGTCTCCACAACTGTGAACTGTTTGATGGAGCAGACACATCAGTTCTTACCTCCGGTGAAACTCATATTGCTGCCAGTTTTTCAAATTAGTTTATAACACAGTTTCATCCCCTTTTTACTTTTCTGTTTTCTAATGATTGAAAAACAACCATATCATACACAGATCAATGAACAATTATGATCATATACCTATTAAAGAGAATTTTGTGTGTGTGTGTGTGTGTGTGTGTGTTGCTGTACTTGGTATATATAGTGAGGACAAAAAATGTATTTTTTGAGTCCTCAGTTTCTGAAACACCTTTTTGAGGGTTAAGACTCAGTTTTAGGGTTAAGGGTAGGATTAAATTTAGGTTAGGGGCAGGGTTAGGCATTTAATTCTGACATACAAGGTTAGGGTAACGGGATAGGGAATGTATTATGTCAATGGGTGGTCTCACAAAAATAGAAGTGTGTGTGTATGTGTGTGTTTTGGGGCAGAATGACGCATGTTGTGGAACCAACACATTACTTCTTGGTTCTTTGCTCAACTTTTCATAATTGCACACTCTCTGCATTATATTGTGTTCCTGTTGTATTTTTATTTGCTTCCTTCATCTGCTGCTTTAAAGTGCCTTAGATTTGTGTTACTGCCTATTTAGATTTGTGTTATTGCTCATCTACTTTATATTTCACTTGTTTTATGTGGCATTCATGTGGACGGCAAAGTAAGAATTTTATTGTACAGGAAATCACGTTTCCTAACTGTGCATATGACAAATAAACACTTTGATCTTTGACCTTTGTACAGTCCCATTTATACAAGAGGGTTAGTAATGGCTGCTCTTTGTTTGTTTGAGCTAGTGAACTAAATATACATTTGAGCAACAGAAAATAACGGTAAAAGCTTATCTGCCAAAATGTATGTAGGTAGCAACTTAAAGTAGATTAAATAATACTTACTGAAAACAAGAATATATGATACTATTGTTGTGTGTGTGTTTTTCCATATATGTGAGCCACACCCAGCAGTGTTACACTGTATGTTAATCAGATACTACAGGAACATCATCATATCATCATAGCTGCTCATATTACCTTACATCTTCAGTATTTCTCACTAAATAATAACAACAACTCCCCTGGATTATTCAAAGGTTTATCTAGATTGTCTGCAATCTATTTAATTTGCAGTCAGAGTCAGACTTACCTGTCATAATCACCATTGCAAAGAGCTCGGACAGGAATCTTAAAGGCCTGCCACACTGGGTTCAATGTGTTCTTCACCACCTCTGTCTTGTGGCAGATGGTAAACCTACAGAGAGAGACAAGGAGGGGTAGAAAGAATGTGAAAGGGAATAAGAGAGAAAGGGAAATCAGACTTACATAGGAGAGAAAAGTGAGATTTAAGAATCTATTTATGCATATGAGCAGGGATAAAATAGAAAAAATACACAGAGATTTTCTACTGACTTTCATTCACTTAAAGTAAAAGTGGTGTGTCAGAGAAGCTACATTGCTACCCTGACACACACACACACACACACACACACACACACAAACCCACAACTACAGGCACGCACACACTGAAATGAGCACCCTCAGCGCACAAGGTCTTATCTCACTTGTCACACACTGTAGGATGGAAAAGAGACCCTACAGTGCTGGATCAAACACTCACACACATACACCCATGTGCACATATCTGCACACACATAAAATAAATGGGAATGTACCGCAGCACTGCACTTGCTCCATGCCTCCTGCTTTCACATACACACTCACATATTCGTGCACAAACATTTCCACGTGTAATTCACACACATGCTTAAACAGGCAGCGAGGCTATTGATTTGAGGCAAATCCATAAAAATGATTTCCTCTGGACACAGGGAAGAATTAAACTGAACATGAAACAGAAGAAGGAAAGAGGGAAGGAGTGTGAAGGAAGAAGAGGAGAGGAACCCACGTGCCATCCTCGTTGCTTCTATAGAAGACCAGAAAGGGGTCCGACTTGCCAAAGAAATCCTTTTTGTCCAACTTATTACCACAGAACTGCATCATCACTGATTCCTAATGAGCAGAAACATAAAAATGCATGTGGAAAGCATACTTGCTTAACTTTTTTATGGCTTGTGACCAGATTATATATTGGTCCCCAAGGACTGTTTCATGCAGCTCCACTCAGCCATCCATCTATCTAGCCAGTCAGAGAAATCACCATTTAGAGGAAAAATACACATTTGTATACTTGGATGACTATTCAGGAAGTGAAGATCCATCCTCACCCTGCAGTTGTTCAGCTCCTCTGCTTTCACAATAATAGTCCCACATTTCTTCCCTGGAATGCCTCTGGAAGGAACAGAACAGAGCAAAACGGTAAGAGATCACAGTCACCTAGTGTATTTGACATGATCACATTGTACTACACATGTAGCATTCTTATTCTTGCTTCTGCTGTTTTCTGCAATTATGGTCAAAGACAGTATGGTATGACTGGAAGACATCAAACACTTCCTAATCGGATTTACTTTCTTTGCATCAGAACAGTGTGCACCCTAGAAGAGGTGCCATTGAATAGAAGGTAGGGCAGTCATCTCCTAACCAGCAAGTTGGTGGTTCGACTCCCGGTCTCCCCGCATGCCTAAGTGTCCCTGAGCAAGACACTGAACCCCAAATTGCTCTCCCGGCGGTTCGACTGGCGCCAGTGTGAGGCAGCCTCTCGTCATTGGTGTGTGAATGGGTGAATGGTGTACGATCTCCTGTAAAGCGCTTTGGCCAGTGTAACACACTGTGAAATATGTGCAAATATGTGCTATATAAATACAGTCCATGTCTATATATGATGTCTTTGCCTCTTTTTGTTTAATCACTGATGCTTCTTACTCCATACTGTGGTGTGTTGACCACAAAAGATAAGATGAGTTGAGTCAAAAGCCACATTCCTTCCCCAAAAATATAACACAATCATACTTACATGTAACTTTTTTTTTTACAAATTGTGGCTGATTACATGCAACATGTCTTATGCTAAATATTATTAACACTGTCTGGATGAAACTAAAGGACAGAATAGAGTCATCATTTGTCAGTCTGTCTTTGTAGAAAGGCGTAAATGAACAGCAGACCTATCATACTGACAGCTGCTATAAAACACGTTCTTGAAGTTTTCATCTTCCAAGCTGGCGCTCCTCGGGGTGTGACGTTGCAGTTCACTCAGAGTCAGGTTGTTTCTCTTTTGTCTGTTTTTTGCTTATTTGTGCTGTGTTAAAGCAACAGTAAAGATTACAAACTTAATTTATGACTGGGAAACTTTGTTACTGCTAAGAGAGCGCAGTCTTTTTGGAGATTTTAACCTGAACACGTTGGACTCTCACCCAGAGCTAATATGCTATGTCAACATGACGCCAAGCCAACCCCCGGCAGACAGCTCTTCAGATAACAACAAACCGAAGCGGAGACGAGGCAGACAGGGGGAGTTGAACGGAGGCTCCAGCACTTGGTTGGCAAGCGGCAGGCTAGCCCTCCCCATTATACTGTTCACAAATGTCCAGTCTCTAGATAATAAATTGGACGAACTCCACGCTTGGATTACCTCACAGAAGGACATACAGGACTGCTCCCTGCTGTGTTTTTGTGAAACATGGCTGGGAAAAGAGACTCCCGATGAGGGGATGGTTAGTCTGTGTTCAGACAGGATCACAGCACAGCTGAAAGCGGCAAGACCCGTGGAGGAGGAACGGCAGCCTTCGTCAAACAGTCCTGGTGCACAGACTGCAAGATTCTCTCTAAATTTCTGTCCTGAAGATGTGGAATATTTAACACTAAAGCTAAGACCATTTTATTTACCTAGGGAGCTGCAATGTATCATTGTGAGCATAGTGTATGCACCCCCATCAAGCAACGAGGAGGCTGCACTAAAGGAACTGTACAGAATGATTAATGAGCATGAAAACACATATCCTGATGCTGGCCTTTATTATTCTGGGAGGTTTTAATCACTGCAATCTCAGGAAAAGGATGCCTAAACTATCAGTTTGTAACCTTTCCTACTAGAGGAAACAAAACACTGGACCAGTGTTACAGTAACATTAGAAACACTTTCTCAGCTGAACCTAAACATCATTTTGGTAGATCTGACCACCCAGCAATCTGGCTAAAACCTGCTTACACCAAACAACTCGAGGCGAAACCAGTCTCAGTGAGAACTGTTAAAACCTAGAACGACTGTGCACAGGCCGCCTGCTGGGCTGTCTAGAGGCCACAGACTGGAGCATCTTCAAAGGGGCCACAGACATCCATGAATATGCAGAGACTGTGACTGACTACATCAGCTGGTGCACATCCATATGCGCACCAGCTAGAACGGTGCGTGTTTTCCCCAACCAAAAACCCTGGTTTAATAGGGATATAAAACAGAAAATCAGGAAGAGATGAGAGGCTTTTAAGTCAGGACCAAGCGGAGTACAGGAAAGCCCGGTATGAGCTACAGAGGTCCATCAGAGCTGCAAATGGAGCATACTTCCAAAAACTGGAAAGCTACTATATGAATAACAACACGCCCAGGTTGTGGCAAGGAATCCAGGCAGTTACAAACTACAGGAACAAATCGACAAACACAGTCCCCTAGGACGCCACTCTCCTGGACAGCCTCAACAACTTCTATGCGAGGTTTGACAGGATAAACACAGACACTGGCCCTGAGACAGGTAAACCCCCATAAGGCTGCTTTATTCCATACCCTGAAACACCTGGACAACAGCAGTATGTATGCTAGGATGCTCTTCCTGGATTACAGTTCTGCATTCTACACCATTTGCCCAGGTAGGCTGATTGGGAAGATGACAGACCTCGGTGTACCAACCCCCACCTGTAACTGGATTCTGGACTTCCTGAGTGAAAGAACACAGGTGGTCAGAATGGGAGGGTGAGGGTCTGCTGAGCTCACAATCAGCACAGGCTCACCACAGGGCTGCTGTCTCAGCCCCAAACTCTTCACCCTGTACACCCACGACTGTGTCTCCAACCATGACAACACCATCATCATTAAATATGCTGATGACACCACCATTCTGGGCCTCATCAAGGGGGGAGACGAGTTGGGTTACAGAAGCTTGGGGAACGACATTCTTGTTTATGGAGAGGAGAATGACCTCATCCTCAACATAAACAAGACAAAAGAAATAATAGTAGACTTCAGGAAGAACCCCTCCCCTCTGCTGCCTCTGACCATCAAAGGGACTGAGGTGGAGAGGGCTGACAGCCACAAGTTCCTCGGCCTGCAGGTAACATCTGACCTGAGCTGGTCAATGAAAAAACTGAAGAAAGCCCAGCAGTGGCTATACTTCATCAGGCGGCTCAGAAAAGCTGGGTTGAACCATTGCCCTCTCACCCAGGCTTATAGAGGACTGGTAGAGAGCATCCTCATTACTGGCATCACAGTCTGGTATGGTAACACCACACAGGCAAAGAGGAAGACACATTAAGGTCATAAAGACTGCAGAGAGGATAATTTGGACTGAACTGCCTGCCAAGGACACACTATACACACATTCGCTGTCATAAAAGGGCAGAGAACATAATCAGGGATCCATGCCACCCAGCTCACACTCTGCTCAGACACAAAAACTGCACCTACAGCCTCAGGCACAGCAGGGCGGACAGTATCATCACACACAGAACTAGACTTTATAACAGCTTTTTCCCTCCCACAGCAAGACTGATGGCAAACACAAAAATGTGAGAATATATGTGCAATAACTAACCCCTTACTAGACATGCACTATAATAATACAGAAATGGTCCACAAGGTATTTTTATAAGAGCATCTCATCAGCAGTGTTCTCTTGGGGGACCTGAATAATAGCAGGACATTCTCTACCAAGCAATGGAAACAGGCCTGAATATAAACTGTGTTTTAGTATGTTATAACCCCTCACTACCTCACCAAGCATAATGACATATCCAACTTCACGATGTGAATTACTAAGTGCGATGTTTGAGGTTCACTGGGGAAAATACTATTACCCTATTTTTTGTGTATTGTGGTTTTAATGCTTTGTTGCCTTTATGTAACTTTTTTAATTTTAAGACTAAGTGTTCTTTCTGGCTTTTGACTCTTTACCTGACCCCAAAGGAGAGCTGCACAAGAATTCCTATATGCCTAGACTGTTTATGCATAAATGGCAAATAAAAATCTTGACTTGAAGTTTAGGTATTGCTAAATTAGCTAGCCATGAAGCTAGCTATGCTATGGCTTGTCTTTGAAGACATGAGCCATTAAGAAAAAGTTACACTGTTATACTCATCCTACCCAACATAGTTCGGCACAATGCAATGATACAATAAATATATTGACCCAAACGAGATCTATTTTTATTTTCTCAAAATAAATTTTGTGGGTTTCATCTTATGTTTAATAATGAGACAATTACATGTTCACAACATCTCATATTGTTTTTGAAATGACAAAGTACCAGTCTAATAATGGTCTGCTACAGAGAGTGTGTTTGTAGCCTTAATGTTGCTAGACAAGTGTTTATAATGAATCTTTCAGAGTTAGTCAGCCTTTAAAATGTTTTGTTACTTCTGTTTAATCTGCAGGAGTTTCTAAAGGCTGGTGTAATAAGATTTGTTGACAAATGATTTGCATTGGAAACACATTTGATATACTGTAGTTTGTCTCAAAAGTTTAAAGTTGAAACAGTATTTCAGAATAATGACTGGATAAATGTACTTATATGGGTATCAAACTTGTTGATCCAAATACATGGTAATTTCCAGCTCCTGCTGAGTTGAGTATTATAAATGCAAAACAGATATTGACCTGGCCAGTATTAAGGATTAAACATAGCATATCAATGCAACAAGCCCACCCTTAAATGTGAAAGCACATTATGGACCTACTGGAAATGTTGCATTGATGAGCAACTCCCTGTTCTCATGTAAGGAACAAACTTCATGGAAAGTTTAACATCGTCCCACTGCCTGAAAACATTTCCAGGATAAATGTTGAGCCTAGGGTGTTTATATTTATGTGTGTGTGGTAAAGTGTGACCATTAGTATGCGTGTGTGTATATGAGTGGACCGTTGTTGATAGGGTTAGGTGACAAACTGGCATGCCTGAGTGACTGTACTGGTGTGTTCACTATATACATGGACCCTTGTAGGTAGAAATAGATGATGTATGTGTTTGTGGGTACCTTTGTTTAAGCACTTTCTCTGATTAAACACCGTGGTCATGAAGTTTAACTCAGTGACATCATTTACAGTAAATCCTCCTCCCTCACGCATGTTTGCACACACTTACGCATGCACACGCACAAACAAACTCACACAGAGCTTTCTGACT